ACCACTGCATTCCACACTGTTTCGAAGAAGTCGTAGGATGTTTCGCATCTCTGTAGTCATTGGCGTTTCCCAAGGTGCCTCTCCGACGTCGCTTCGTGTTTCCCCTGGCCGCACACAAGATTTACGATCGCAGCATTCGTGGCAGGAGCAACGACTGGAAAGTCCAGATCGACAACCGCGAACGAATCAAAGTTATCCTTGGTGGCTTTGCCAACATGTTTTCGCAAACTCCTGTAGAGATTGTTGCAGTTATGTAAATCGTGCGTCGGCTTGGCAAGCATGCTCGCGAGAGAAAATTCGACGTGCGCGAAGCAGTCGGCCATCTTTCACTTTTGGGTCGTGTTGTGCTTTCTCCTGCATGAGAAACTTCGTGAACCCGTCCAATATGCGTTGCTTGTTCTGCAAATTGGTGGACAGTGTCGAACAGCTGATGCCGTATGTCGAATTCTTTGGCGATTTTGGACTTTAGCTGGCCATTTTCCTCAACCTTGCAGATCTAAACGACTTTCGGTAAACACTCCCAATCCCCCATACGACGCATGTGAGCATGCAGTATGCCACAGGCACACCTGCGCAGGCGCCCCCGTCGGGGGCTCCTGAATGGATGATCTCCTTCAGGCTCAATTGCTTACTTGACCTGATTCCGACAGAACTCGTGAATAGTGTCAGAACACTGACGCTACTCCCGCTGCTCCCTGCCTGCGTCGGTGCATCGGCATTGGAAGCGGTGCTCTGCCAGCTGTGCACGCCTGCCCTTCGTCACCCATTTACTCAGTTTTTCCAGTCCGCTGTTTGCCTCGGCGGAGAGGGGGGAGAGAACGCAAGGGTCTCCAGTGTGCCTCTGTGTAGGCTTGCGTGCTTTTGGCATGTGGCCTTTGTAATAAGCGTGGTCGGCCACCAATACTTTAAATAATCCGGTTAAAATTATGTGCATTTCGTTCGGTAACACGTTGAACTTCTATAAAAGTGATAATTAAAAAAAAAGTGATTTCTTTATAATGAGAAATTACTGTATAATATTTAAATCATTTCACCTAAAAGAAGTAATCTGTCTTTCACTAGTCTTTTTGAGCATGCGAAATGGATTCATCCATCCGCCCAATCAATTACAACTCCGGTAAATATTTTTGACTTTGGGATTACAACCGTTTTCAGATAAAGCAGGGTCCCTAAATCCATGTTCCGTGTAGTTTTATAAATATCACGACACAAAGTTTGGTTTCAGGTGTCTACGAAAATACCGAAACTATCTGCTAAAGGATGGCAACAGTGATCATCAGCCGTACGGCAGCAACATGACATCACCGTTGGGCTGGGGTATGTGGTACAACCAATTAACCGCAGCTCCACAGCGACGTGACGTCATGAGGGTGCTGCACCAATTGGTTGTTCCTTGACTAAAAGCTAACCCACTTGCCGCCCACTAAAGAGCAGCTGGTCACATCTCTAAAATTGGTTTTAGCAGAGTATTTGGCTTCACTTTGACATAATATTTCGGCTGCGATCATATTTTGTGCCACTAAAGCGACACCATTCATTTATTTTGGTTTTGTTTTCGACCAGAGTTTCCCTTTAAGACAGCCTAAAAGAAAAATTCACTTATAAATTTAATTACATTGTAAAGTCCAGAATGATTCCAAACTTTTTTTCTTGATACTAACCACAATGTTTCGTTTTCATATTGGAGCGCATCTCTGCGCCCGCGATCCTGCCCTACAGTGGTTGACGTTATACTAGAAAAAAAATAGCTTGAATTGTTTGGTTACTGAGAAAGCTTTATTTGCTGCAATACTTCAGCAAAACAAACCAAGAATATCTCCGAAAGTTATGTATATGAAAATGCTGAGAAAACGTTTCCTTTCCGCCAAAATGTTTCCTATTAGCTTCATGCCCACGGTGCCACTGTTGTCATTGATTCTGAGGCCAGTTCCAAACAAAGTATGAAAGGTCTCTCAGCCTCATAAAAAGTACAAAAAGTAAAAAACAAAAACAAAAAAACGATGACCGTTAAATTATGGTTTTGAACTCGAGCACAGTTTGCGAGTTGTTTAACAACAGTGGCTTTTTCTTTTGGTTTTAAAGTGTGCAAAGTAGTCACATAATTTCATGAAAAAGCGGCAAGCTTGTGTAAGACAAAATGTATATATATAGTACTGACCGACCCAAAATCAACCTTACATGTACAATCAGATCTGTCTGCCCATCTCTCTGTCCGCCTGTGTGCGTGCGTGCACCGCATGCAAGTCTTTTTTTTTGTTTCCTTCGCATTCTGGTATGCTTGCACAAGATGCCACGTAATTATTGAAAGAAGTGGAAGATAAAAAAACAAAGCTCACCTCTCCGATTAGCGCAGAAGAGCGCTGAATTTTTCTCGTGTTCAGCCTGTCATACACTTTTATTTGCCTGATGTTTCTTTTAAAATTACAAACAAAATTAATTTATATAGATGGCATCAAATTATGGGCAACTGAATGAAGATACGCAGCTCAGTAATGGCCGAACCGTGGCTCGCGAGACTTATGTGGCTCTTCAGCGGTGCCAGTGCGGCTCGTGGCTCCCTGGTAAACGCCGCACCCCCTTCCGGCAGGATCAAATGGAAAGACAGAAAAAAAAAGCAGTCCGTGTTTTGTCAGTTTTGTGCCCCCCTACGTGCATCGAACACGGTGCTTGTTTTACGAATGGAGACTCACAATAATGAAACATACCGAAGAACCGAGTCATGAGTGGAATTTGCAATGGCCACCAACTGAGAAGACATAACTTGTTTTGAAGTGCAACGCTCCCTTTTTGCTGGCTCTTGGCTTAAAATGGTTTCTTTCGGTGGCACTTTCTACACGTCTGTCTGGCCACCCCTGCACTAGCTGATCATTTACTGAAATAAATCAACAAAACACTAAAAACCAAAACGAAAAAAAAAAAAAAAAAGTGATTAAAAACTTTTATGTAAACCAGATTAATTTGATTTATATCACAGTAGCTAGAAAAAAGTGATTAAAAAGTGACTAAACAGGCAGCACTTGTCCCGTATAGTCCTCCCTTTTTGTCCTTGTCTCTTTTACACCGTTTTTCACAATGTTCATGTATCACTAGCTGTATTTCTAAATGCAGAAGATTGATTGATCAATATTTCCAATTACTAAAAACAGCGAGGAAGAAATAATCACTAGAAATTTAAACTTTTAAGGCAACGTTTAATTAACAACCTTTCATTCATGTAAACCCCGCTATACAAAATGAGCTTGATATGTTTCTAGCTAATGAAAAAGCTTTGAATAAAAACAGAAAGAATAAACATAGGGACGGACAGAACAACACTTCTTTCGACTTTCAACACAAATAGCTTTATTAGCACCGGCACCCGAGCCCAAGAAACCAGAGACGGAAAGGGGAAGGGCGAAAGGCGGGAACATGGAAAGGTGAGGGGTGGTAGGGAGAGCATAAAGGCATAAAGGCGACACAGACAGGAAAATTACTCGCGGGGAAGAAGAAAGGCCAGGAGAGAAGCCGCAAAGAGGCGAGGCCGCTTGAAACGAAATCACCGGACGGGCGACCTAGGCCCGCGGGGTCCCTGTCAAGGCCATCAACTGCGGGCGAAGGTAGGCCACGTCCTTCGTGGAAAGGGAAAGAGACGGCGCCGAGATATTTCGGGATGCGTGCATTATCACGAAAGACTCGATTATCTCTCGGCCGTAGCGACCTCGGTTAGAACCTAGGATTCTTGCCGAAGAGAATCCAGGGCAACATGAGGAGCAGGCCCTATTGTGGACGGCAATCGGGTGTAGTGAATCCCTCCCATTGACCTCTCTCTCATGTTCGCGTAACCTGTCGTTAACGCAGCGCCCTGTCTGACCGATATACTGTGCGCTGCAAGACAACGGTATGGTGTAAACGTGCCCCGTCGCACAGGGAACAAAGCTAGTCCCGTGCTTCTTGGAGCATCCGGACTGGATCGGCGGGGGTTCATTTACGAGACGACACATAGAACCCAGCTTAAACTGGCACGAAAATACGACATCGACGTCGTACCTTCTGGCGACTGCCCTGAGGCGATGTGAAGTGTTGTGGTAATACGGCGTGACCGAAAACTTTTTGGGCTTCACTTTTTTTAGTTTCTTTTCTTTCGCATTCCGATTGCTTGCAATAGGACATTACGTAGCTAAGTGGAAGCTAGAAAAAAAGAAAGCTCAGGTATCCCCAAAAGAGTGTTGCTTTGTGCACGTGTTCAGCCTGCTAGTATAAGCTTTTCTCGCTTGATAACTATATTTAATTTCATTACAAAACAAAAGCACATAGAGAACATCAAATGCTAGACAAACGGTAAAGAAAAATATAATTTGGAAATCATTTTCACGAGAAAGGTCCGATTTAAATCATCCAAGTAAAACTGGCGCGACTGAAATTACGATTTAAATCAACGTGATTTTTATTCTTCACCCAGCTACAAACTGATCCTAGAGTATTCATAAATGTTCTAGAAATGCAAACCACTTCGTAGCGGCAGCAACGAGCGTCCTGTTGCTCGGTACAGTCAACGTGCAGCCCACGGGCACTGCCCAAATGTTGAGAACGGACAGTTTGTCGTCTGCTATTGGGACTGGGTGCACCACCTTCCTCTTTTACCCTGCCGAACCCGTTGAAATGTCTGGACGCGCCCAAATGATGCCGCCCCCAGAGCACTTAATGGATCTATAAATGGCCGTTTTCGTAGAAAAGTTGGTATGTATGTATCCACACGGTCGGAGCGGCGAGACAGCACCGATAAGCTCACATATGCGTATTGTGATAATGTGACAAGCAGTAGCCACTCGCAATATTCTCACCAACAAATCGAACGAGAAATATGGCCCTCGTGGATAATACGCGCTGTTAACGTTTATACTCTAATGTTTATACTCGTAGGAAAGGAACCATATAAGCCGCATCGCTTTACAAAATGCACCAACACAAAGTTTGTAAAAAAAACAAAAGAAGCAAATTCTGCGGAACTTGAGGCAACTCACGGCATAGAATAGAGATTCTCGGGGATGCTTCCCGTAGCGAGAGGCCAGGGATTCCTGGTAGATGCCCATGCGTGCAGACAGCAGGAGGGAGAACGTCAGCAGGGCTATGCCTGTGAGTGGACAAGGGTGAAAGAAAAGGCCAAGAGGTTAACACCCCCCACCCTCATGGCACGTTGGCACGAGGCGACACTGTCAGCGAGAAGACAATGTCGGTGCTTCTTCCCTGTTTATTTTGAAAGAACATTGGCGGGCACCACGTTTTACCACTTGGAATAGAGTCCCGAAAGAGAACCTCCCATTGGAGTAGTAGCCTTGATCACAACCTTTCACATTTAAGAGGAAAAACAGGAAAGACCGTCCATCACTTGCCCGTGTCAACCGTGTAGCACTCCTTACATACCTTTGCATTTGTTGTAGAAGCTCCCCATTTCGGATGGCACTCCTGGCTTTTCCTGGAGTCGGAGACAACAAAAATAGATCTGTCATAAAGGGCTATATCCGAGATTCGGGAAAATTAGCACTTTTGTTTTTAAGGACAGGACACACTATTTTAACGCAGCATACACAACAAGTTTCTATTATTGCTGCAGTCCTCTTTTGAGAAATTTTTGGTGTGACGCAGCGACAATACAGCCGTTCTTTCTATGTGCATGTTGGTTAACGCGCCTGGGGATGTGCTTCTACCCCTTGACTTCTGCGCACTACCACAGCGATCGGACAAGAGCCCCACCCAAGTGTCCGCCACAATATTTATCGTAATCGAGTGCAAGTTGAGTGCTCACGCAGTGCTCGCGTCCGGGCCATTAGCCACATTCGACTACCGTCACCCTCGAAGAATCCCCGCGACTACATCAGCAAGCTTTGCTAAGGAGAATCTGAAAGAAAAAGGACGCTCCAATCCTCAAACTGAACTACAACAAAGCACCTTCTGGCACGGTGGCATTGCATTTGAATATACGCATGTCACACTTGCGTGACTATGCTAGTGTAAAGTGAGCGACATTCAAGCTCAACATTGCTTCACGGCCCTTTTCAAGTCAATTCCCACTGACCAATTTAACAAAAAGACACGTGTGATGTCGCACAAGTGTCATAGTCGGGCACAGGAAAAGAGATATGAGGGCGATGCTCACGTGGTACTGCACAAATGGTTTAAAATCACACCAGGTGAAACCATGCATAGAACGGTAAATTCCGCTTTGGGTGGCCGGCATGCACGGTGGCCGGCATGCACGGTGCAGACGGACCAGAACTTCAAAAATTACCAAAACACGAGAACTGCTTTCAACTAACCTCAACTTGAACAGATGCCATTGTACAGGCCACGATGCCAGCGGTGATCATGAGAACTGCAACATACTTGGACATGGAGTACCTAGAGATATGGGCATAATCGATTGTGAGCAAGGAAAGTACCTCTTTGTACCATTTATTTTATTAATTTATTTGTTTACACTGCCAACAGTCAGTTGGCAAAATAAAGAATGAACGGAAAGAAAAGGAAGAACAGCAAGGAAACCCACTGAAGTCAAACCCGATCACAACGGACTCGGGTAGAGAGAATCAGCCCCTATATCGAATGTACGAAAATGTTTGATCAAAATGCGTGCAAAATATACCTATCACGCATAACGAACTACACGATGGATATATTGAGTTTCCAGTGCCTACGACCACCGGCAAACATGCGAGCTCCAGCACTTCTGGCGGTTGGCTTCCTTGCATTGCAGACGGATGTTGCTACTCGTCCGGCACGAAGCCTCCACTTAGCTACGCTTAGTCAAGCCCTAGCGCCGTAGCGCCCGATCAGGTTTCAGATTTCGTAACAACTGTGACGCTTTTCAGCCAATCAACTACGTCAATACTGGTCGTTTTGGAACAGTCAAATTTTGGGCGCGCAAGCAGCCAATGCTTTGCAGACCGAGCCTCGGCATCAAAAACTTCGCCTCCACAGGTCTCCTGCAACTTGCCATTTTGTTCTGCAATCTGGTACGGCTCACAGTTCAAGATCACGACAAAGCGGCGGCACGCTCTTCAGCTCTTGGACAGAGTGGACATCATTACTGCATAACTGGCTGAAACAATACTGGCAAAACAAAGAAAGATCTAGACAGGACGCAGCGGAACTGTCAACTGAATGGTTTATTTAAGAAAATGTACAAATAAAAAGAAAAACCGACACGTAAACACACTTCTTAGGAAACCAGCGTCACTGGTTCCGCGTATAGTGAAAATCTTTGTCGGACAATAACATTCGTCGTGTTGAATGTGGTGAAAAAAAAAAAAAAAATTGGACGTTGCCACCACCTTCAACGTAACTAAAAGTATATTAAGCAACCTCTGTGTATAACAAACAAATTGCAAAAATTTGCCGTGAGCGGGTTTTGCTTTAATGAATTGTGTATATCGAATGAAACTGGGCGTTTTATAGTTTGTTATAAATGGGTTTGACTGTATTCAACAAGCATGTGCTTCAAAAGTGTGCGACTAAAAGCATTCAGTGTTTCCAGGCCGACAACATTTTGAGGGAGCTTGTTCCAATCGGCCGTGGTGTTTGGGAAAAAGGACACCTCGAAAGATACAGTTCTGCACATCAATTGACAAGTGTTCAGATATGGAGATCAGGGGAGGTGTGATTGGCTGGACTGGATCTTGACGACCGGAAACCGAGTTCAAAGTTGGAGTGTCAAGTTCTGCACCTCACGTGAGCCTCATCCAGAGGTTCCCAGACGAACTGGCAAAGTTCCTACTGTGCAGCCCAGAAAAGACAAGTTTAAATTAAACTTCCGTTTCGCGCACAATAAAGCGAGGTAAAGGGATTCCCTACCAAGAAACAAAATCCCAATGTAGAAGAACAGAAGAATCTTGCTGTCAAGATGTGGGCAGAGAGGGTCGGAACAGTTAGCCAACAGGTTTGTTCCGTGCTATCAATGACAGACAATTTTCCAACAGCCCTGGACCCTACTTCGTTTCACATTACGATGGACCGCAGATGACGCTATAAGCCATCAAAACCAATCCAACGTCGCGTGAGTGTCACGTAACTCGCAAGAGGAGAGCAGCAATGCACAAGGTGTGTAGTCGCACAACACATTCCGCAGCGCTGGATTGCCTGGGACGGCTCGTAGCATCCGCTGTGACCCGTCGTAAGGTGAAACGGAGTACAGTCATGAACTCCAAGATGGCGTTTTCAATGAAGCATGTCAAACTCACCTTTTTTTGAGTAAAATAATCCCTAACAACATGCTTGCAATGAGAGACCCCTGCAACAGAAATACGTCAGGTTGAAAGGACCCGTACGGCAAAAAAGCTGCACCAACAATGGGAGCATGTTTCACACGACTGTTGCAAAATACAGTAGCAAGGCTGACGTTAAAGGAAAATGGGCTTCGAACAACGGCGTAACTTATCGATGCACCACCTACCTGGGCTGATTTTATTGACATCACCCATGGCACTTCTGCTCTCTAAACAAAACTTTAAAACAAAAAAACTGCCCGTCTTTTTGGTACATCCAAAGGGCACTCTAAATGCGTAGCACTGTAACATAGCAAAGACATAACATGTCCTTGTTATGTCACGTTGTCACCTGACGTCATGGGGTCACGGGGACCTGTAAATGCTACGTATTTGAGCGCCTTTGGCATTGTGTTAGGGCGTCACACGGTATCCCAACTGCAATTCACAATGTGTCACGTGGCACCACGATGCTGCAGTGTCACGTGACGTGACGGAGGACTTACAAATGCTCTGTATTTGTGATGATGTCACAGTGTCATGGGGCACGTGACGTCATCAGGGCTACATCTCAGCACGGAAGCGAAAGCGCCAAGAGCTGGCCCTATAACTGCTACGCATTTATTTGAGGCACTTCTTTAGTCCACCGCCCAAACGTCCCGTACACAAACCATCAGCTATATAGCGCTGCGTGCATGAAAAAATGCTACTCCACATTTCTAGAAGATTCATGTCTACTCTTACCTCAAATGTTTGACACTCAAACATTCTAGGCTGAATGTTTGAGATATTGAGTGTACTAGATGACGAGCCTAGCATGGCCTTACCAATTCACTCTCCCTAAGACTCTCGCGCTAGCTAGTTGCCACGCCGACACCTCAACGCTCGCTGCCGCTGCCTTCGACGCTTGTTGCTGCTCTCTCGATGCTAAATTGTTTGTTCCCTTTCTGGCACAAGTTTGCCGATTATATCTTTATTTTCAGTTTTACGCTCGACGATTCTTTACCATCCGTGACAATAGCATACTTAAATCTGGGCAGAGTGACAGCGTGACGCCATGCGACGTAACGCCGGGTTCTTACGTGACCGTGCTCGACACATGCTGCGGCTCGCATGGCGGAAACGACGCAGAAATAGAAGTGGGCTTTGCCCTGTTGGATTTTCGTGTCTTTGGACTCTTGAAAGAGTTCTTGAAAAGGAAAACATTCACCAGCAATGAGGGAGTTACTAAGGTGTAGGAAAGTGGGTGTTGGAGAGTGAGTGAGCCAGAAGAACGTATTTTATGTGGAATCAAAAAGCTGCTGGAGTGATCATGCCAAACCAGCGTCACAAAAGAGAGGGACTACACATACTGAAAAGTGACCCGAGCTAGATTGGTGAGATCCATGAATTTTTTTCTGTATTTGGATAATTTGAATTCAAATCCAAACGCCCTACGTACGTGCAAGTAAAGTGAACATGCTGTTGGACTGTGCAAGGAGACGTCCACTTACAGACTTGAATATCATGTGCAGGGGCATGGATATGTCGTAGGAAAGAGCATTGTTGTTTGCGATGCTCACGAGGAAGAACATGACGACCAACATTACATAATGCCTGTGAGAGAAAAGAAGCAAGACAAATTGACTTACCGTAAAGTTCCCAAAGAATGCCCTCCCAAAATGAAGAGATAAATGGTGAAAAAACATGGAATGGGCTATCTTTGGGGACGCCACAGCAAAACTTTATCAAAAATTATTGATAAACACCCTGGCACTGGCTACAAACCATGTGACGCGGGAACTGATACTGCAGATAGCAGACACCGCGAATTCGCGTTTCACGATGCAATAAACACGCGGGAATTCGCAACAAACTCCTGTGTCACGGGAAAGGATATCGCAGGTTGCGGACGCAGCAGATTCGCGTTTCACGGTGTGAAGGACCAGCGGAAACCTGTTGAGAACTGGCATCTCACAGAAACGAATACCACAAATCCCAGACGCAGTAGATTCAAGTTTCATGGTGCAATAACCATGCGGGAACCCGCTACAAACTTGCCTGTCACGGGAACCGACATTGCGAGTACAGATCGCGGACAAAAATGCAGGAATCCGCTACCGCTACAAACCCGTATGTTATGGGACCAATAACGCAGATCACGAATTCAGCAGAATCATATTTCACAATGCAATATACACGCGGGGCCAATTCGTGTAAAATCGAGATCGTGGACAAAAACACGGGAATAGGCTACAGACTTTCATGTCACGGGAACCGATACCGCAGACTCGCATTTCACGGTGCAACATATACGCCGGGACAACTTGCGTGTTACGGGAGCCGATATCGCATGCGCAGACTGCGAACAAAAACGCGGTAACCCACAATGAGCTCACTTGTCAGACGTTCCGGTACAGCAAATCGCGCGGTTGATGCAATTCACGTCGGACATCGCGTGACATCCAACGGAAATCGGGGGGTGGGCGATGTTTCAGAATTTTTATGTTACAGATTTTTAGCCAGTAAAATGGGATGGGCGATCTCTCGGGGACGGGCATTTTCTCGGAACTTGACGGTATGTGCACATGAAAAAATATCATGCCCAAAAAAAACAGAAAAAAAAAAAAAAAAAAACATTTTAAATGTAGCAAGAAAAAAAAGTCCAGCAGTTTTTAGGAGAGGATTCTCTTCCATTAAAAGTACCTTTTTTGCCAAACAAAAATTTGGTTCTACAAATACCTGATTCTGAGTTCAAAGCAAAGCTAAAGAAAATGACAAATTCTTTCAAGGGCTAAGAAATCAAATTCAAAATAACTTGAAAGTACAACAATAACAAAGGTCTGCACATGGACTTACATACAAGGGAAAGTCCAAGCAAATAATAAAATCTTTCAAGTAAAGGCAAATATAAAACTCAGTGACCTGAGTAGTCTTTTGTCAGTGCAAGTAAGTGTTGGAAGTAGAGGAAACTCTTTAATCGGTTAATTAATTCACCTATGTGTCGCTGATGCCACGAGGCAATATAATTCAGAAAAATATATTTTGGACATATTTGTGTCCAGCAAGTTTACTAAAGCTCGCTTGCGGTATGTTTGCTTGAAACAAAAAAAATTGTCTGTTTGCTTAGTATAGAGAAACAAAGAAAATTGTACCTTTCTAATGTTAAGAAACAATGCAAACTTGTGGGCAACTCTGATACTATAAAATACCATACCAGTTTAATAAGAGCAGTGGCTCAAAGTGAATTTCAAACAATATGTTACCACAAATCAAAGGTTATCTAAGCATCCACACAGCCCTACTAATATAGTATTTGTGTGAAACTCTGAAAACAGTTAAATACAATGAAAACAAAACAAAAAAAACAGCGAAGACAAAGTCAAGGGCATGAAACTCACTTGAGGGGCACCACGGGGCGCCTCTTGCCAAAGTTTGTCGAGAATATAAAGCCTTCCACAGAGATGAAGAGAAAGTGAGAAAATGTGATCAGGTTGCTGCATCCTGGATGTTCCCTGGTGGTTAAGAAAAAAAAAAAATCAACCAAAGCACTGAGCATCAGTAGGCAGACAAAATTTGCAACCTCTTTCATCAGCAGGCCGAGTCGTCACGGAGGGGGCGGGACAACAAGTCGCAAATTGGCGGGCGGGGGCAGGCGAAGAAGAGGCAGAAAGGAGGTGAAGACCTTCTCTGCCCTAGAATGGGCTGCCGGCAAGAATGGGCTGCCGGACAATCCCCATTTGAGGTCAAAACTGCCGTGTGGTCCTCAAGCTTGGGAGGAAGTGGCAAAGGTGTCGTGCCAGGGGCCGCATGAAACTGCCTTGCGGGCCGCATGCAGCCCGCTGGCCGTCAGTTGCCGGCCCCATGCTTACTAAGGAATATTATTTGGCTCATGACATACATTTTAGAAATGTCTGTCATGAGACAGTAGACATATTTAGTTTTTTTGATAGTGCCAGCGTAAATTCACTTTTGGGTGTTAATAACTTCAGAGTTTTAAGAGTTTCTTGAATCAACGTTCTTGAGCTCATAGCTTGTGCCTCAAATAGCGAAAAAATTTCATGCCCAATCAAAGCGATGCCAAAGGATGTTTGCCGTTCAAGGAAAGTGAGCCAGCGTACGTAGGAAAAGACAACTTACTTTACGAGGAGCTCCAGAAAGACAACATTTGTGCAGCAACCAAGAAAAACAAACAGTGTTGCAATGGCCACTCGCATTTTTCTTGCAGTCTGAAAGTGGAACATTACATTTTAATAAGCATCAACTTTATTTATTCATACGTGGTTATATTGTTTATTTTACCACTGTAGAGTTTTCTAGTGAAAATCGCATAAGGAAGCACTTTTATATTTCTCACCAGAGCGAGTTCAAGTTGACACTGCAAGGGAAAGACAGTTTCCCCTAACACCAGCACATTGTGGAGGACCACTTCAAGTGCTGAATGGCACAGCTCGGGAAAACTTGCATCTTCTTTCATTGCTTTTGTAGCTTCTAACTATTCAGCACTTGTGGCACAAACACATAAAGACAGCTTGACTAGGATAAGCGATTGAACGTGTCTAGTAATCACACGAAAAGATCCGACTCAAAAGACGAAATAATTTAAGAAATCTCAAAGGAGCGAATATGCAAAATTAAAAGAATGTCACATACCTTTTGTTTACAAGTATGACAAAAACAAAATTATCTCCAGCTGTTTGTATTTGCTTGAGTACCTGTTCTGCAAACAAAATTTCCACTTGCTTTTTTTTTTCCATTGGAAACTATTTGCTTCCACAAATCTCAGAAACAACAATCACCAAAAGGTACAGACCTTAGCAGAGAACAATCTTATTCAAAGGAGTGGAACCAAACAGCCTCTTGCAACACTGGTCCTGAGACGCCCAATAAAAGATTTGATATGGGCCGAACTAGCAGACAATTCAGTCCAAGGCCAGTTGAAGAGGCCAGAACGTCTCATTAAGCAAACCATTACAACTAATTATAATGCAATTAAATGCAAAGGTGCAAGCAAGCTGGACAAGAATGACGAAAATGATCCCTGGAGAAGGGGAACAAGAGGGACACAGCACTCCACTGGAAATGGAGAGGTCCCGGGTTCGATACCCGGACCAGGCGGATTTTTTTGGTCGCCCACCTGTCACCTAGTTGTGTTTGGAGATTTGCGTTTGTCCTTTGTCTCTCTTCTCCAGGGATTATTTTCGTAATTCTTGTCCAGCTCGCTTGCACCTTTGCATTTAATTGCATTATAATTATAGCCTTAAAGTGCAAGCCTTTCAGCCTTGTTGGTGTTAGACTGGTGGCAGCTGATAAAACCCGTTTGCTCTACTGACGTCTAACACCTGGTTAGCTCAGTTGGTAGAGCACTTTACTGGAAATGGAGAGGTCCCAGGTTCGATACCCGGACCAGGCAAATTTTTTCGGTAGCACACCAGTCACCTAGCTGTGTTTGGAGATTTGTGTTTGTCCCTTTGTCCCTCTTCTCCGGGGATCATTTTCGTCAGTACAACTAATGCACTGAGTTGAACAGCTAAGGCGGGGGTCCCTAAATCGTGGTCCGAAGACCCTGCGTTCATTTGGGAGTTGCTCTTCGATGTTCTGCAAAGTACTGAGAAGAGTCTAGGAGTTCAGACCTAACATTTTTGCAGCTCAAGCTCTTGCAATGCCCTTTTAGTGGTCAGGTCTGAATGCCTTCCTATAGATACAGTCCCTAACAAAAAAAAAAAAAAGTGTGAAGGACGGAGCGACAGCGTCTCATCCTCTTCACGTCCCTCGACGGTTGTTTGTCTCTCACGCAGCTTGAGACGTGCTTCGAGAGTAGCGATTGTGCCAAGTGGCCGGCCATTTTGAGAAATGAGATACAAAGCAATTTTCTTCAGTCTTTCACCACATCCGGTGCTAAGTGCGAAGTTCACGATGCGGCATGCGTGTTTCGAATGCCCAAGATCGGCCCTAGATGACGTTACAGTAACATCACGATTTGCACAGAAGTGTGCGACTGATAAAAGATTATTTTTGTGTATCATCACGGTGAATTTGAACTGCCTGTGCCACACTGTCAACATGACAAAGGCCTCAGGTTGTGATAAGCTCAAGCAAATCGGTGCAAATTCTATTTACTGAAAGGGCAGGCCACTGGGCATCGTCACCACTCTTGAAACGCACCACATGCTCTGCTAGAGCTTCCTCTGACGACCACTCAGTGGCCCTTCAAGCGCCAGGGGCTGTCGTGCCGTCGTTCGCTTTTCTTTTGTTTGAGACTGTGCATCTACTAAACTACTCGCTGTCATTTTTTCAGATATTTCATTTGGAAGGATGCATTTTCTGTGATGGTTCACATAAAAGAAACATAAGGATAAAATTAATGCGAGCTGGTGAAAGGTGAACATCGTGACTGTAACTTTTAGACTGGAATAGGGATAAGGTTTATTACTTACTTTATACTCCAAAGAGTAAAGCTATACTCGCCTTCAAATCTTTTAACAGGAATGACACCACGCGCAACCGAAGCAGAAAAATAATTCGATTACGAGAGACATCTAAAAACTTAAAGTTGTCACAAAAAGATTGCTTATTTGTTGTTTTATTGATGTAACCTGCGAGATCCGTATGGCATTGTGGAAATATGCGCTTTGGTTTCTCCTGCTTTCGCAGCGTATAAACGACACAAGTGAAACACAGCCGGGAAGACAAAAGCTCCTGCATAAGGGTGGGCACTCAAGCAACACAACCAGATATTTCCAGGAAGAAAAAGTTTAAATTAATTCAAGGAAGCCATAGTTGTTCTTGAAGTTAGAGGATGAATGCAGAGAGAGCGTCTTTTGGAACACACGCGTCCACTGCATGCGCGTGCTTGTGCAACGCCAGCGTTCTTCGAAACGGCACAATCGCGCTCGTCTTTCCGTTCAGCGCTTACACACTTCCAATAAGAACCAAATATTCCGTTTAAAATGAAATCAAAAAGCGACACAGGCAAACGTTTTACGTGGCGTCAAAAACAGTCGCACCAAAAACATCGATTACAAGCTTTCATAGGAAATGACAAAACTCAAACCAATTCAAACGTCATAGATACGAGCGCTAGCGGACAAATAAATAAATAAAAATACATAAATGAGCCATTCACGTACGAGTTTGGGAGTCGGTTCCAAACGAGCGGATCACAGCTGACCACGGCGAAGACGACGTCACGGGCGACACATCAGCACTATTGCTGCTCGCTACGATGCGACGCAGACCTTAGAAACTGCAACGCACCCTTTCTTTCCTCACGCTGATTGTGCTCTGTCATTCCAGGTAATGTCCTTTGTCTTTGAATTAGCTGGAGACCCAGAAATGAATTAGCATGCGACAAGCGAACGCGGCAAACGCGGCAAAACAAACGTGTATATGGGAAACAATGTTGCCGGGCTAGAAGCTAGACCGGCTAAACTGTATAGATCCTTTTTTTTTTCGTTCATTTTTATTTTTAACCCCCTCGAATGACTCTTAAAGGCATATATCTAAACATAACAAATATATATAATGGAATATAACAATTAGAATAATATTTATACATTTATTACTAAAAATTGTATGCTTTAGTTTTAGTTTCGATTTTACTGCTTTAGTATTTTGACGCTAGATGAAAATCGGCACGAGTGGTTACTATTGAAATATAAGCGTCCGCTGAGGCCCGTACTTTCATCGCGAAATTGCAGCGATTATCACCATCTAGAGAACATATGAAATCTAGGCAACTGTAGTAGTATTAAACGGCCAATGGCGCGGAAAACAGAAGCTGTAAACTAGGAGTCCCCAAAGTTCTTGGCTAATAAGGGGCGAGATGGGGGATATGTCGCTGTCTCGAGGGTTGGAATATAAATAAACAAATATAACTAAAAAAAAATAGTTCTTTACTTTGGTGGAGAAGGAAGATCAACGAAGCTGTACGCTCGTCCCTTGTGTTTCTTTTTCGTCCTCGTCTGTTTTGCGCGCTATTTCCTGCGATGAATTCCCACCGACTCGCCTCAACTATCCATTCCTTTATGATAGCTGCGCTGGAAAGGTTGCCGCCATCTATGAGCGATGGCGGCAACCAGACTAATTGTCTGGTTGCCGCCGTCGCTCATACATGGCGGTAGCTGTCCAGAGGTTGGTGTCGACATTTGTTGGTACCGGACACGAAACTGAGGAAACTAGCCCTTAACAGCTCCGCTGTAAAAAAAAAAAAAAAAAAAAAAAAAAAGACGTTTACAAATATTTGTAATGCGAAACTAGAAAGTAGCTGTTGAGGAGGGGGAGGGGAGGGTGCGGAGGGGAACGTATGACCCTCCTCCTCCTCTACACCTCCCGCTGAATTTGTTCATGAGTGATGTGACAGGAAGTCATGTGACGTCATTTTCCCCGCTAAATTTAGCGGGGAAATTGAATTGGTGTTGAGGTCACTGAGGTCAATTTCCCCGCTGAACTTAGCGGGGAAACTCAACCTGCTAAATTTAGGGAGAAATTGACGTCACATGGCCTCAACACCAATTCAGTTTACCCATTAAATTTAGCGGGGAAAATGACGTTACAAGACATTGTGTCACGTCACCCATGAACAAATTCAGTTTCTACGCTAGATTTAGCAGGAAAATCGACGTCACGTGACTTTAAGACCAATAAAATTTCCCGCTAAATTTAGCGGGTTGGTTACGCCAACGGCAACGCCGCGAAACGCGGAAAAGAAAGAGAGAAACAATAAACTTTATAAAAGCCTAACAAGATTCAGAACGTTGGGTTCCTTCTCTTACGGCCGGCGTGGTGCCTCCCCTGCAGAGTGGCCGGGCGGACTGGACCGGGCGGCGACTTGCTCGGCTCTTGTGACCGCAGCGAGTTGGATAACGCAGTGGGAGCTGAGCAGCAGGGCCGTCCACTGAATGTCTCGTTGTGTCAAGTGTCTTGTGAGGGAAGAGGGTGGGGGATCGGCCGGAACAGGACCAGAATATATGTTCGATCGTGGCCTTGTTGTGTTCGTCGGCGTCCTTTGTTGGATCGTAGCACTTGGTGCATCGGGCCTTGTATAGGTTCGGGAGGTGGTGTCTGAGTATCGCGGGGTTAGGGAGGGTATTCGTCTGAAGTTGGCGCCATAATACTTGTTGGCGTCTGTATGAGTGACTTATGTGGTGGTGGGTATATCTGGCACTGTAATCTGTAGTGCTGTGTAATGTCATGGAAACCACGAAGTGGTACCTTATACCATGGGAGATCCCTCGGCTCGTTAGCAATCGGAATGGCTACGCCGACCCGGCCCAGCGAGTCGCATCTCAGGCCGCGGCGTGGGCCGCCTCGTTAGCGCCGACCCCCTCGTGAGCCGGAGACCAGATTAATGTGATTGGGTGTGTGATTGGAGGAATGATGGATAATTTGAATGTTAGGAGCTTTATTGCCGATCGAGAGACGCGACCTGAGCTGAAGCTGAGAATGGCCGGCTTGGAGTCACAGATTACGGTGCGTAACGACCCGGACGCGTAATTCAGGGCAAAACAAACAGTTTTAAACAGTTTAGTGTGGACTCGCGTCTCAAAAAATAAAATTTATGCGAAAAAAAATATTTGTTAGAACAATATTGATGGCGCGAAATTTACTTCAAAAACTCCATGACGCCACGGAATGGTCATACACTCTTTCCACCTCAACGAGATGGTCATACACTCTCTCCACCTCAACGTGATGGCCAAGCCGACCCACCCTTCCTCCACGCACTCGAAATGCCGAGAGAGCAAACAAGTGGAAAGGAGGTGACTACCGACTATCGAGTCTCGCGCCGTAAATATTGTTCTAAACATTTTTTTTTTTCACATAAAATTTATTTCTCGTTACGCTTGTCCCAACCAGACTGTTTAAAAACAAAAATATTTTAGAGCACAGCTCTTAGGCGCCTGTTTCCGGCTTGAGCGGCGTCGGCGTAACCACGCGGTGCATTACGGGAAACGTCCCATAATGCACCGCGCCGAAACGTCGGGTACCGTGCCGAAACGTCACGTAACGTTTCGGCACCGCGCTGAAACGTCGCGTGGCGATGCGCGTTTCGCGCGTGAAAGAATGAGGAGGGGAGGAGAGGGTACGAATGAGGAGAAGGGGCATACCTTCCCCTCAGTACCCTCCCCACCTCCTCCTCAAGAGCTGCGCTCTAAATCGGCGTTACAGGACGTTGTAAACGGCTTTCATTTTTTATTCTTCTTTTCAGTGGCTCTTTAAAGGCCGACGACCAGTTCGCGCTTTCCACGTCTCCCTCTCTTCCTCCTTTCCCCCTTTCACCCTGTCCACCGTCGCCTGTTTCCTCCTCCCCCATGATGAGAAGGATCTTCTGCCTTGCAGAATCTCGAGTCTGGTCGTCGGCCTTTAAGCAAGGAACCCATGAGCGGCAAAAACAGGCGCCGTGCGCTGATTCCCATAGCAATTGCAGCCCAGGACGCTGTGATGGGGACCTACGCCAAGCCGCCACGTCATAGCACGCGCGCAAATTGCCATGAAAACTGCCACGCGGCGCCCGTTTTTGGCGATCATGTGTTCCCTTCTTGAGAGCTGCGCTCCAAAAACTAAATAAATATTGCCGCTTGCGTGACGGCGTTGGTAAGGCACGTGGACGGCACGAAGACGAGCGGAGTTCAAACCCCACTCGGCACGTCTCTTTCTTTTTTTAAAGGGAAGCTGAAGTGGTTCTGTATTCGAGTAAAAACCCTTAAATCGTATGTATTTGGCCTCCAGGATCACGAACATCGAGATTATTTTTTTAATTTGGAGCACGGAGGCTGCAGAAAATAATTTTCAAAGTACCTCTGAAGCCCCTCCTTCCTGGAGCGTTACGTCATAAAAGAAGTTTTCGGAATCTCCGCTCTCGCGCAGCTTCAGTGCCTACCAAAGCTGTGCACGCCCACTCTTGCTGTTAAAAAAAAAACAAAAAAAAAACAAAGAGAAGAGACATCACGAGTGTTGTCAGTGCTGCAATTGCACGCGCTAACCACTCGAGGGACACGCGCGCTTGGCCGCCGAAAGATCCTTTTATGACGTAACGACTGGTCGGATGTTATTCGTATTTTATCCTGTTCAGTTACATCTTCGAAAAAAAAAACAAAAAACGAACGTGATATTTGGATTTACGGGGTAAAAATGCTCTAAAATTCACCTCTCATTCGTTTTTTTTTAAAGAACTTCTTCAGCTTCTCTTTAATCTGTACTCTTTGGAAAGTTCCAGCCTATTTTCAGCTGTCGTCGAGTGTTCGGTGGTTCAGAAAATTCATGAACGCACCGCGTGTATAACAGCAGCGGTAACGCGCTGCTTCGGAGCGGTCACTCTATTGTCTCCTGCTTACTAACATTTATTTCAAGTTTTCACATCAGCATATAAGCATATAAATTACTAAATTAAAAGTTAGGTAAAAAAATGAAAGGCGTTTACAATTTTCTGTAAGGCCGAATTAGAGCGCAGCTCTTGAGGAGGAGGAGGGGAAGGTACGGAGAGGAGGGTATGGCCCTTTGTCTTCCCCCCAAAAATTAGCAAGAAAATTTTTCCGCTAAATTTAGCAGGAAAATTTTACCCTCGTGAAGTCACCGCACTGACGCTACCCTTGTGACCCTCGTGAGAGTAACCCTCGTAATCCTCGTGAGGGTAGCTCTCGTGACCCTCGCGGGGTAACCCTTGTGAGGGTAACCCTCGTGAACCTCGTAGGGGTAACCCCCGTAACCCTCACAAGGATAACTCTCGTGACATTACACGTGACGTCACGCGTGACGTCATTATAGGAAACGTCCCATAATGCAACGCGCGGTTACGCCGACGGCAACGTCGATGGCGACGCCGCTCAACCCGGAAACTTGCGCCTAAGAGCTGCGCTCTAGAAATAATCTAAGACGGATGAATACATACGCCTTACCTTGAAAATCAATATTTAACCAATTAGACTGTTACTCAATAGGTCTGTTCGATTTGGCCAGAAAGTTCTGAACTAGTTCTGTCCGAGTTCAGAGGAGTGCAGGAGTCGTGCAGCGGAGGCGCAGAACCAGTGCAGCCGCCGCGCTAGGACTGGCGCTGTGATCGGCTTTCCGAGCGGAAGCGCTGGGTGTCGTCTGCATCTGTTGGCTCTTGTTTCTAAACGCCAAGTTGTATGCTATATTTATTTGTTCGTGGGTTGATGAGACAATTCGTGTTTCCTTAGCTTTAAAGTATAATAACGGAACCTTTTCTGTGATTATTTTTTATTCGCGTACTAAAAACGTTTTCTGCACGAAATGTGTTTCTGTCTGCATTTTTAACGGCCGTTCGGTTTCTCTCATTTCCATAACCGTTCGTGTCCTTCACATTCATTTAGCAATACTAGATTCATTCCTAGTCTCTCGAGTGTCGCATTTCTACGATATATTCGCGGCATCGG